CTTTCACGTGATCCTCGAGCTCCTGCCGACGCTCTGAGCCGAGCTTCCTCTTCTTCTGCGCCACTGGTTTTGAGCCGGGATATACAGCTAACCTGTGACAGCAAAATTCTGGATCCACCCCTGGAATATCTGAAGATTTCCAAGCAAAGACGTCATTATAACTCCTCAAATAGGAGGCCAGCTGGGCTTTTTCCTCATCCGTCAACCCCTTTCCTATCTTCGTTGTTTGTCCTGGTGCTCCCACAGTTACCTCCTCTAACTCTCCGTCGGGTTCCGGCCTTGGCATCTGTGTTTCATCCCTCATATCCAATTCCATCATATTAACCGAGCTCCGCTTCGAAGATTGGTAACCACTCTACTTAGTCGTAGCTACGTCTTTGGGATCTTGGTCCACCATCCGTACAGATCTGAAATAACAATCTCGAGACTCCTTCTGGTCCCCAGCTATGGTAAGCACCGTACCCTGCTTACCAATCATTTTTAACTTTTGATGCTTGGTTGAGACTAGCATGTCCCACGCATGAATTGTAGGTCTTCCCAAAATCACATTGTATTCTGATGGAAAGTAGGCTACAATGAACCTCACCCTCTCGGATTTGTATGCCTCCTTAGTCCCCAATGTTAATCTGAGATCAATATACCCCTTAGGAGTAGTGTTATGGCCATTAAACGCAATTAAAGCCGTGTTGCAAGCCTTCAAATCTTCTTCGTCTAAATTCATCTTTTTAAATGCGTGCCATAAAATTATATCGGCACAACTCCCATTGTCCAGAAAAATCTTCCTAACTCTGCAATTGACCAATGTTCCTGTAATCACCAGCCCATCAACATGTCCTGGCACTACATCCTCGAGCTCCTTCTTTGTGAAGTATAACAGCGGCTGCTCTGATTCTTCTTCCTGCTTGAACTTGGGGCGCTCTCGAGTTGAAAGCACCTCACACAAATATTTACGTCGGGCATTCATTGTGTCGCCACCACTGCCAAAAGCTCCACTGATCACGTTGCACTCGAACTCCGGCTCTTGGAATTCGTCATCTTCTTTAGTCGGCTTCTTACCTCGTCCTTCCTCTTTAAACTTATTTTCCTTGGGCGGGCTTCCGAGCCGCCCTCCTCTCCTCTTCCTATTTCTCCATCCCTGCGTACAGATGAAATACTGCCGCAACTTCCCCTCTCTAATGTACTTCTCAATTACATCTTTAAGGTCCCAACATTCATCTGTTGTATTACCCGGACCGTCGTGAAATGCGCAGTACCGGGTTCGATCCAAACCAGCCTGGTTTTGTAAAGGCCGAGGTCGCTCGACTTTCTTCATGTCGGTGAACGCGACCTCGCGCCATATTTGCGACCGAGAAGAGTTCAGGGGGGCATATTTATCAAACCTTCCCTTGGCCTGCTGCCTATCATCCTGCCGTTTTCCTCGAAGGTCATTCATCCGTCGGCCCCCGAGCTCAGAAGGATTGGCCCCCTATCAAACCTTCCCTTCCCAAATTTGTTTCTTTCTTTCCTCACTTTGTGCGTCTAACTCAGAAGGATTGGCCCAATTTTTCTTTATTCTTTTTGCTGGGAGAAATAGCACCAATTGGCCCTGAAACATAAAAAATCAGCCCATTAGCACTCAAAATCAGAATCCTTCGTTTCAATGCAATATTTGGGATTTTTATTAACAAAAGATATCCTTTTCATTCCCATTTTAACATCAAATCACATGTTCAAAGTCACAAATCATGGACTTATTATACAGCTTGTTGCACACATTCAAGTGCTATTTTACCTATCCTTCTTTTTAGTTTTGTTTGTGTTGTGAGCTTGGGAAATCGATCGAAGCAAATATTCACTGAGTTCTTTGTTGTAAAGTTAGTATGAGAAGTTTACAAAAAAAAAAAAAAAAAAAAATTAGTATGAGAAAAACCAACTTGAAAGTTCATACCTAATAACATATATGCAACTGAGATTTGAGAAGATACTAAACAAAAATTTATTTAATATTGTAGTTATTTCTTATTTACTCCTACTACAATAAGGGATAGTCTATCCTACTATATACTCATCTTAAGGTCGCATTTCAACCTCTATCTGCATACACCCTTGCTGGTGGCAATGCTTTTGACGACAACAGCTTGAATAAGAAGCGAATAACTTGCTCCATGACTCAAACTATCACTTCCACCAGAACGATGGTCAATGGAATCAACCATTGTAACTCGGGTTGGCAAAACGGGTCAATCCGGTCCGACCCAACCCGACCCAATCCAACCCGCATTTTACCCGGAAAAAACGAGTCAGATTAGGGTTGGCTTGAAAAAAAAAGAGCCAAAAAATTCGACTCGAGTCGGGTTAAGGTTGGCTCGCGGGTTGACTCAAAAATATGGCTCGTGGGTTGATTTGAAAAAATAGCTCGCGAGTTGGTTCGAAATCGCGGGTTGACTCAAAAATTGCTCGCGGGTTGGCTCATTTTCAGCCTATTTAAATGATTCTGTAGTATTAATGCACTAGCTATGTGGCTTCCATTAGCTTAAATAAAGGGTTACAAAATGAGAAATAAAAGCAAAATATTTTAGTTTCGAATTTTCTTCACAACAAATTTGCATCAACATCAAGAAATAATCTGAACCACTTGCTGTTATATTTGAACCAAACAGAGCCAACACAACCTAACAATATAAAAATGGCAAAGATGTGAGAAGATTAGGGACTTAGGTTTAGAGAAGGAAGATAAATGTTGACAGCATGTGTGGGTTTTGCCTATTTTTGTATATTATATTTTGTATTTTTTTATAAATAAAAAAACTCAACCCGCGAGCTGGCTCGTTTGACTCGCGGGTTGGCTCGTTTTTTCACGAGCTGGCTCGGGTCGGGTTGACAGTTCATTTTTGCCAACCCAACCCGGCTCATTTTTGGCGGGTTACAAGCCAACTCGACCGGTTGGCTCGTTTTTGCCAACCCTAATTCTAACCCCATCTTTGATTTACTTATATTTAATAGCTCATACATATAATAAATTAGAGATGTTTGATATATATAGGACTAACGGTTAATATTAAAAGTGTAACTTACATTAATATAAAATCATTCGGATTGATTATTATATTTACCTAAAAAGATGAATTGTTTTTAAGCTCTTAAATTAATAATTATTATTTGGATTTACTAATTTTTCCTAACATAATATTTTAAGGTTCGGGAAAAAAATGCATGGCATTTTTTAAAAATTCATATTATAGGACAAATAAGATTCTCAAAAACATCAGTTTTTTTTTTTTTTCTCATAATTAAAATTATATTGTTTTTGATTACCAAAAAATTATACTGTTTTGACTTTTGAGATTGTAAATGAGACAATAAACACTTTTCCGTGTTATTTATTTTTGTATTTCAATATTAACTGCATTACGTAAGCATGTGGATGTATGATAATTTCTTAAGACGTAACATTTCATATTTTGAATAAATTATATGCTGATAAATTTTTATGTGATTTGAATGTAACTTTTACACAAAAATATTGTGGCGATTATGAGTTAGGAAGTACGAATATAAACATATGACATGATATAATATTATGAAAAACTAAATGATGGTAGCTCAGTTAGTGTGTGAGAGCTGAGTATGTGGGGTGAGAACATGTGTTTGATTCTCCAGTATTATCTTTTGGAGGAATTTAAAATCCTAATCCTGAATTTACCTCGAGCAGGATTGTTTCTCGTGGAGGATATCCGTGGTGCATCCAAAAAAAAATATTATGACAAAATTTAAAATTTATTTGACTTTATATAGTTAACTTATGAGTTATAAAATTAATGGGAAAAATGTGTATCATTTTAAAGTATGTAAAGTTATGTCAGTGAGAGAAAGAGATAGACAAAGGAAAAGAGAGAGTGGACAAAAAAAAAAGTGTGGATCTCATCTCTTTGTAAGAGTGAAATGATATAAATTGTGTTATTTAAAAGGACAAACATTTTTCCAAAATTAATATGGTATAATTTTATGAATCCCAAACGAGAATAAAGCAATCAAAGTTTCATAAGTCAACTTCAATAGTTGAAAGCACAAATTATTTAGCTCGTTATTATAGTATTCAACCTGTATTGTTATTAAAATGAAAGAAAAAATAGTAAGACAGCTGTCGAAAAGTATTCGATTCAATATGTATTAGATATAAGTACGATAATTATTTTGAAGTATTAACGCTTTATAGATTATGAGAGAGCACCAAATAAAAGGAAAATAGGTATTTATAAATGACGTCCACAGCTAATTTTATTTAGGAGAAAAAATAAACAATGTCCAGTCAGGCACACCTACTCACACTACCTAATCTGGAGATTTTGCTATGAATTATTGCTGGTTTCATTTTATTTATTTTTTTATACTCACGCTTCAATGACCTCTGAAAAAAAAAATGGCAATCTTGCTTAAAGACAACAATTCTCTAGTGCTTTTTTTGGCCCGGTATATCCACGGAGTCACTTAAGACATAATTTTTATTATTATTATTATTGTGAAAGAAGGCATAAATTTTAATTAGATTCAACCTTGCGTGTTAACTTTCCAATATCACTGATGATGTGTAGTTATGAGTTATGCTGAAAAGCTCGTTAAATGCTCAACGTACGCCAACAAATTTTTGCTTCCACCATTAACTAAGTAAACTTTGATGACTAAGCATATCATCAACAAATGGCAGATTATATTTACAAACTTTTTTATTTACAAACTATACTATATTCTCCCGAGAGAATACAAACTTTAACAAACTACAATATGTTCTCCCGGGAGAACATAGTGTAATTTGTAAAAAAATTCAAAAAAATTTGTAGACGAATACTGTCCCCATCAACAATTGTATTTTTAATATTACAACTTATGTGATAAAAGACTTAATAATATAAAGTTGGAAAAATCTGTTACCCAACTCAATCTCTACACCAGAATTAAGAAAAATAGGCAGAGACATCTCACGTAAATCTAATGTAAGAAAATTGTGTGAATAAACTATAGTCTAACCTGTAAATCTTACATTTCAATTTAATAAATGAAATGTTAAGCTTATGCACCATAAATAGCCACAAAAAGAATGGGGATAGTTATCCTACATATATAATCATGACTTCAATGAGAAGATTATGGATAAACATGAAATACTCCTTACAACCCCCGTCCCCCCCTCGGTGGCCGGAGGCAGTTTTTTCTTCCTCAAAAGAAAAATATAAAACTAGTAACACCTTCACAGAACACTATTTTCGAGGCTGACAAACATGAATCAATGGCATTCCGTTCGTTGTCATTTCACGGAACTGCATTTATGTTCCGATAAATCTTTAGTAGCATTCTCATTATTGTCAACGATCGTTTCGGGAGTTTCTTCACATTTGAAAGTCCAACCAGCAAAATCAGTCTCTGAAAACAGAGTAGTAGGAGTTGCTTTGTAGAATGCAGGGGGAACCCGCTTTACCCTCCGTGATATCTGCAATGGTGCAAGTTGTCACCAGGTGATACAAGGCAATAAGCAATATGTCCATCTTTCTCTACTTCCTCTTATTATACAAACAATTTATGCACATCATGGGAAGGGAACAAAATCAAGAAAGTAATTATTATATCACCTCTGCTCCAAGTATTGTTGCATATGAACCGGCACTAAAATCACCAACATTAACTTCACTTGTTTTGGCCCTGACTGTCAAATCATTCTCAAGAGACAAAGCAAACCTAAAACCACAAGCAAAAGCGTGTGATATTCAAGGTAGTAAGTTTATCAAAATTCAAAAACAGAAAAAAAAAAAGTTGAAATAAAAAACAGGGAAAGAAGAAAAGGAAAACTAGGAGTCAAACATCAAGATCAAAACACTTGCCGTGAGACAGGCGGACAGTAGTGGTGAAGAATGGTATCAATTTCCCAAAGAGAACTTCCTGCTCCAAGAGATCTTCATTAGCAAAACAAATATAGAAGACTTAAAAAAAATAAAAAATAAATTTGGTCCAGTCATGATTCGCAATTTTCCCCTTATATGATATACCCATTACCCAAAACTCAGACCTATTGCCAATCAAACTTTGATAATATATGATACATTTATGCAAGTTATAAAATCAATGTATAAATGTCATCAAGTTCAGAGTAGCCTGCGGAGATTTTCTTGGTCAACCAAGCAGAAAATCATGGTAATAAAACATCGACAAGAGAAGTACAGGATATGCCTATGTTGACAATTTAAACTACAAGTTATGTCCAAATAGAAACATAATACAAGTGTGTGTGTGTGTGTGTGTGTGATTTACAGAAATTCATAAGAGCAAAAACAACAATGCGGCTTTCTCACTTTCAGAAGGTTTAGTTTAGGGCAGAAAATAGACTTAAGTTAGATTGGACAACAGATAACTTCAAAAAGAAGCTTACTCATAGCGCCTGACTTCTTAGGATTAGTTTCCCCATTGTTAAAATGGTCAATTCCAGGTTTCTGGCAGGGAAGGGCACCAGTCTTGGCATTATCCAAGGTTGCAGCATTTCCGTCATCTGTTCTATGATCATCTTCCCCTTCATCAACACCATCTTCCTGCCCATATATAGAAATTATCAGCCCAATCCAAACAGAAAGAGAGCAGTTCATCTTTTACACTGCAACAGACATATCCTACCATTTTTCCCACAAGGAACAAATTGTACAATTTGACATGCGATCACAAACACCAAACTTTAGAAGAAAGGGATAAAAAAGAGAAGAAAAAAGGTTCCTAGTTAGTTTCTTGACTAGTACAATTCCACTACTGCAAAGTCCACTCCAAATATTAAACAAAAGAAGCAGCTATATGCTAATAAAAAAGTTCAGTCCACCAAGGAAATGTAAAGAACCAATTCAACCCAAAACCTTAGGTTTTGGGTGAAGGCCTTCTTAATGGTTTATATTATTCTCTATCATACCCCCTCACGTAAGAACCCTTTGGGCTTGAAACGTGGATATTGCATAGGCCCAATTTCTTACCTTATCCTTATTTAATTCCACAAGTGGAGGGCGGTAAGGATTGAATTCGTGACCTTATGGTCATTGAAGCTCTAATACCATTTAAAAAACTAATTCAACCCAAAACCTTAAGGTTTTGGGTGAAGGCCTTTTTAATGGTTTTATATTATTCTCTAACAAAACACAGTGCTGAAATTACAAGTGCTAGAGAAAAAGTGAACCCAAAGCATTTATATCCTCATGAGTTCGTAGCCTTAACATATAAAAGAGATCAGGCAGTAGTAATTTATTTAGAAAGTATCTCTTCCAATCCTTATATTTCTCATATCATCATGGTATCGGAGCAACTCCAAGATTCAAACCCTAGCTTCCTTAGACCATCCTTCAACCAAGAATCCAATCTCCTGGGCCCTGGCTCTCCCAAAAGAAAAAAAAATGGGCAAACATAAAATCAGACAATGCCAATCATCTACACTACAGCTCTATCATAAAATTGCAGATCACAGCAGCATGTCATGTGGGATCTACAATACTGTCTAGTCAGATTCTTTTTGTCAACAATATATTAGCAAATATTTAAATTTGCTACTAGTGTGTACTAACGAGCATATTTGACAAACAGAAGGATAAGGAAATGTCATTTTAACTGTAACTGAGTGTTAGCAATTTATGGATTTTGGATTTAGGGAGGCAAGGTTTGACATTCACCAACACTAAAACAAACTTGAAAAAGATAATGAAGAAAAAGTTTAAATATTAAACAATAATGACTGAGGGCAGAAAAGGAGAATCAAGAATAGAAGTAAACAGGGATAATAATGCTGCAAGAAGTAAAAAAGAGAAGCTAGAGAAACTTTTGATGCTTCATCCGAACCTTTGAAAATAACCACATAAGAATCCAAGAGAAAAGTTGGAAAGAGGAGGCAGACAATTATTTTCCTTTTCAATCCTTGACCTTCTTTGGTTTTGCATTCTCATTTAGTATTCTAGTTCTATCTTACAACCCGTGTTGTGCAAAGGCATAAAGATTTGATTATTGATCACAGGGTTATAATCGAGAAAAAAACTGAATATATATTTGTTCAAGCAAGGCCCAAAAATAATCTCAAAGCTGGGCCACCGTAGTCCATTTTGAGTTCTTGGTCACAGCTAATCAATTTTTTACACAGCTCAGCCATTATGGGTTAAGATATAATCCTGCTCACAAGCCCCACAGAGGCAATGAGGCTACAGTTAACATCCATATACTGAACTGCAATAATACTAACTAAGATGAATAGAAAAATAAGTCCTGAACACGCTTGAAATAAAGTGTTTTCTAAATGGAAAAGCTTATAATGTGGCCAACAGACTATGATTTCAAGATCACTGCTCTCTTTCCCTCCCCTGTAATTTTTTCATGTGATCCTTAATAACATCACCAATACTAAAGATACAATCCAGAAACCAAAAGTTATTAATATAATAGACAAAAATAAAAAAAGACAGATGGAAGAAGACTGTATTTTTTACCCGGTGTACCAAACAGTTGATTGAAGGATGTCTACGCAAAATATTATGAATTAGAGCCGTAATGACCAATGCCCCCGAAGGAGGAACTGCAAGCAACAACCTACTCAATTTCTTTGCAAAGGAAGCAGCCAGGTAAGCTGGAAGAAGTGGTGACTTAAGGCAAGAATCAAGAAGCTGTAAATAGCAAATTGCATATTGTCAGAAAACAGCACATGCATAGGATTCGCATACAACAAAAGCATTCTAATCATTGACTTTAATACTTTTTATGTTGGATAATTTGTTATCTTTTCATCATCACTCAATCATGTTCAATACATCGGTTTTCCCATATGAGATATGTAGGAACAAGTTATTTTCCTCTTCCAGGTAGAAAAAGAGTTGTATTTAGCATATTTATGATGTTAACCCAATGACTAATTTGAGGGTGTTCCTTTCCTTATCTGCAGAGTGGTGTAAAATTTGGGATGATTTGTTATTTAGGGATTCTATTCTATATTGGATCATCCTATTACAGTATAGAATAGGGTTATATTATTATGGTGTTTGATTATTGGGTCTATAAATAGTGTAAACATATAGCTGTTTTGCATAATTATATAATATTAGAGGGTGAATTGTTATTCCTTTTAGTTTTTAGTTAGCTTTCGTTGATATCCTGTGTCGCTCAGCAGGATCCCTTAATCCCATGCTATGTATCCTGCTATTCCCTGTTGTTATTTTTACTTGTAAGTGACAAAAATAATTAACTAAGCTTTACCTGGAAAAACCTTGCTCGATGTTTAGCCATGAAGATAGATGGAACTAAGAGGGCATAAAGTTTTTCATAGAAATTTGGGTATTCCAATCCATACTGGGTCATTAGGACATAAAGACTGCTAAGAGCCATCACACTTACTATGCCACCAATGTCATATGATCTAGTTAAGAAATCACTGCACACAATAAAGTAACATGTCAGATTCAACATGTAGTTATCAAAATAAAATGTTAATTTCGTGTAGCATAGATGTTTACCTTAACATGATGGGATTAGACAGATGAGGAATAACTGCTTGATGAAGGTTAACGAGAACCTGCAACAAAAGCCATGAAGTTCAGGAAATCAAAAGGAAAAAAAAGGACCTTTGGAAAAGTATAACAATGTAGGTCCATTCATAAAAAACAAGATCATTAAAACAAGAATGCCATTGATATTTACAATCACCACTATAACAATTACCGTTCACCTTCTCATTTTACATCCATAAAATGAAACCAATCAAAGGGTATAATTAATTAAAGTAACGAATCATGTGATTACCAGGCTTGAAAGTATCTGACTCACAAATATAACTTGTCTTCAATACAAATTTGATCCATATTCTCTCTAATTAAGATTTTCACGTTCCAAATTAGAAGAGAATGTGGCATTGATACTCAACAAGAATGACCAATTACATTGAACTAGAAATCATCTAAATTCCAGAAAAGACAATAGTATCCAGATTCCAGAATCACGACTTCTATTGGTTTAAGAAAGAAATATACTGGCAAGGCTATCAATAACTATTAAAATAAAATGGAGTTGGATGTCCTCATTTCTGGACTGATATTAAAAAGTTAAATCATGACTCCTGTTTATGCAGAGTCATGTACATGTACACACAAAAAAAGGACTCAATATTTGAAGGCCAGGCCAGCCGAAATTCTAAAGACATGGCATACATGTAAGAAAAACTACCACGCCATCATAGTTACAAGCATTATGAAATGTTAAAACATTCATATCATGTTTCAGAATAAAATGTTATAGTAATTTCTAATTTTGAAAGTATACACTTGCAGATTACCTCCTTGTACAAATCAAGAGGAAGTGGCAATCTAAGATACGCAATCCATGCATTAGTAAATTTTAACTTCATCTTCTTGGCAATTTTGGCCGCAGACAATACCTATATGCATAACAACGAAGATAAATGGACATGCAAAAGTGAAAAGCAGAAAAGCAATTACAATAGATTTAATGAGAAGAATAAATTCATTAAGACGAAGAGAAGAATTTACAAGGAAATTGGAGGATAAGTATCCTCAACAATGAATAAAATTAGAAATAACATTGAACTTAGCTATGACTATGAGTATGGAATAATAATTTACATTATTGTTATGCTTATGTCGCTTCAGCTGCTTATCACCAGCATCCACATCTCCAGAAAGCTGCTTATGATCACTTTCTACGGACAGAAATCCAAATTATAAACATACATGTGGATGAGCAAACGGTACTTTATACGAAGTCCTAAGAAAATAAATAGAAGAAAGCACTAAGTAGCTCAATCTATGTATAAAATGTATGCCTACAAAGGATCAAAGTCGATATCTTCATTATGATATATAACTTTTTAGTCTAAAAATAAATTAGCAAACAGCCACCTGATCTGCTCCACATTTCAAAATCAGATATATTATCCAAGTCTTCAAGAGAGGGGACATGTGATATAGTGTAATAAAAATTGCGGATGACACCCTCCATACTGCAAAAGAGTACATTTTCAAGTTATCAATAGAAACAAATCAGTATTTGGTTATTTTAAGTAGATTCATACATCTCCAAGTTTCATGACTAGGACTAAGTCTTCCTGGCAGAAAAAAGTTAAAATTTTAACTTGAACTAGACAACATTGAGTTGCAAAAATATATATATATGCTTATAGCATGTTATGGGATATGGCATGTCATTTTTGTAATTAAAACATCCAATATACAAATTAAAAAATAGATAACCACTACGAAAAGGCACGGTTTATGACCAAAGAACATAATCTTTTGATATTAATGATAGCCAACCAGCTTTGTTGATCCACATCTCTTGACAAAAGGGAGGAAATGGAAAAGAATAGAAGTAGCTTGAAACAGTGACTATAAGTCTTACTAACTTTGAGCTCAATTGACTTTCGTCGGTGCCATCTCCACTTGCAATTGTATCATCTAACAAGGATAAGTAAATGTGTTATCAAATGGATAATACCCAAATAGTTGGAAATTGAAAATAACGCATAAATCTCCAATTCACAATCTTTCACGTTAAAAGTTGGAAGAATAGTGTACTAAAGAAAAAATGGAAGAATAGGAGAAGTAAGCAAAGGAAGAAAAGCACCTGAGGTATCTTTTCCCTCCAAAGTTCTAGCGAGCTTTTTTAGGCTTATGAATGTAAAATAACTGCACCAAGTAACATTATAATTCAGTAAACTAGCTTAAGCCCCATAATTGAAATGAGTTATGTATTCAACACCAAAAACAAAGTAAAATCAGTATTTAAAACCAAAATGTATATTTACTGAGCAAAGAACCATATAAAACAAATGAAATGAAAAAATAGTACGCATAGAAAAACAGTGGCAGCATGATAACCATACCGGACATCAATATACTTGAAATACTTAGATGCAAGTAAATCCACCAAAACTTCAGCAGGACTAGTAGAGTGAACCTGATAGTGTCAATTCAAAATCAAAGAAATCAGAGCGACAAAGTTCTTTTAAAATAAAAATTGGCACAAGGAAAAAAAAACAGCTGGTATAACTCACGATACAATGGAGAAGCCTGTGATATATAGCAGAGTGGAAGTTTCCCCCATTGGCCACCTTCACAAACTCCATTACCGTGTCCAACACGAGTTCCTTGAGAGTTTCATCGGATTGCGGCGAAACGAGAACGTAGATGAGGGACTTGACGAACTCGTCGAACTTGGAACGGAGCCATGTGAGGTAAATCAATTGGGACTGGTCGACGTCGGTGGAGGAGGAGGAGGATGCGGCGGTGGCGGCGGAGGAAGGGAGCTGAGGGAGGAGAGGGAGGAAAAAGGAGTGGAGTGAGAGGAGAGATTCGAGGACATGGTGAGGTGGAGAAGAAGGGGAAACGAACGTGAGGAGAAGAGGGAGGTTGTTGATGTGCGATGCTGATGACAGAAGCTCCTTCCCTAGGGTTTTCAGCTCTGCGACGCCGTATTGCCCCTTCTTCTTCTTCCTTGGAGGAACAACGCACGCCATTGCTCTTCAACTTGAGAGGAGATGCTGCAAAACACACAAAGCAAGGTTTCTCGAGGGTTTTGGATCGAAAATTTGGATGACGTCACCGAAGGTGTTTCGGGCCAAGATATTTAGCTATCGGCCCAATGCTAGGCCCAGTTTAATTTGCATTACCATTAACCGTGTCACGCTTTTTTTTCCCCCCCCTGATAAGTTCGTTGTTTTATAGGCAAAACTTCATTACGGATAGAAAAATACTATTCTCATTTATATCAGATAATTATCTTTTGTCATCTCAATTTGAATATGTCATTTACTTTTTTTCTTTTTCTTTTTTTATCTTTTAATGATAAATCTCACGTGCTTTCTCTATATAACATGAGAGAACTACTCAACGAGAGTAGCATCCCTAATTAATCTTGTCAATGCTTCAAACTCATCGCTTGGATTTTATTTTTAATGGTCTGTTTCTGTTTGGGACTCTCTTTCCAGTTTCCCCAATCAATTTGTAAGATATTTTTAATAACTATATTTAAAATTTGATAATAAAACTGAAATTATCTCTTATTGTTGTGTTCATTTATTTTAGATGGTAGGAAAATAAATGGCTTCGCATTAAACTGAACCAAAAATAATCACAATCCATTTGAAAATGATGTTAAAAATAATTAAATAATATTTGATGATAATATTTCGAAATAATTTTTTTTTTTAAATCTTTAAATAGTATAAAGCAAAATCAGATGTAGGTTGTTTGTGAAATTTCCGGGAATTTGAAATGCAAAGAAAACCTCTATTTGGAATACGCACTCTCAGAAGATCCAATCCAAGTGCAAAAAATTAACAAAGCTATATTCTTGACATTGACAATAGTCAAACACTCAGACTTGAATTTCCATCTTACTTAAAAAGGCTAAGCATGGAGATGTTGCAAAGAACAACGATACTGAGACATTTTACCAGCTCCCAAAAGTACAATGAACTAATTGCCTGTGTAGATAAATCTGCAACCATAACGATTTCTTGTATTTAGGATTTAAATGAGTTGGGTCACATTAAATTTTGTTTTAAATTAGTCATATTTATATAAAAAATACATTGAATTTGAACTTATTAGGCTGATCTAAATTAAATTGTAGATCTGAATTAATTTATATAAAAAATTAAAAGATTTATTCTAAACCTGTTAACTTATTTAAGCCTATGAAATATTCAATATTTATCAAGAATTAGGAAAAATAAATAAAATTGAAAAACTATATACCAAATCCCGTAAAAGTAAGTCTATAGATTGTTTTCTAAATTAATTTTTTTTATGCCTTGCGTATATTTTTTTTTGACACATTTTCATCCCTATTTATATTTAAAGCAATTCATTGAATAACCTCAAAGATAACTTAGTTGGCAATTGAGCTCGGTTTACTTGAATCATGGGTTCAACTCTGACCAAAGCAAATTCTTGAAAAAAAATTGAGGAATTAGTCTTATCCTTCATTTGGAGGCATAGTCCAATACATCCACTCTTCCAATGAAGAGCTAGTATTTAGGGCCGTACTTCGAGGACAAGGTAATCAGAGGAGGTTGAATGTGCATACAGTATACCAAAAAAAAATAACAACTCAAGGAAATGAGATATTGAATCTTATATATGATAAAATAAAATTTAAAATGTTAAGAGTGAAATAATTGTTTATTATTTTTCTTTCATCATATACGTAATTTTGTTGTTGAGAAGTATTTTTTGTGCTTTTTAATATTTTAAAATGTATTTTTGTCAAATGCAGTGTTTAAATTTTATTTTATTTTACTTTATCAATTTCTTTTTTTTAATATATTTTAAATTTTTAAAATTGATGAAAATAATCGGACAACGTTAGGGGGATACATACTACCCAAATATTCAATGAGCTAAATTAAAAAATCTGGCCCAATCAAATATATGTGCCATTAAGCATAATCCGCATGTTTAAGGAAGCAAGCATATTATAAGGATTAGGATTTGTGATTATTTTAAATTTAATTGATTGCCAAATTTTCATTTGTTAAATTTTCCTTTACTCATTAGGACTGATTTTATTTTAATTTTTTATTATTTTTAAGATTTTTAATACTAACTGAATTGTAATTAATTATGGTTAGAGTTTTTTAGGTGTATTTTGATCTAGCTATTATAAAAATTTAATATTTGGATTATTTTAATAATAGAAATTGAAGCAGAAGGAAATCCCTGGTCTCTCTAAAATTAATTTGGCCTATTTTTTTGTTTTTGTTTTTTATGTGCGCAATGTGGTGGAAGTTATGATAAAAATCTACATAAATTTAGAAGCATTTTTATATATGTGAAATGATAAATCAAGCATTTAAAAATAATATTATAAACAGTTCGTCATTAAGGCTTTGTTTGGGAGTTTGGAGGGGAGGGTAAAAGATCCAAGGGAGAGGGAGGGGGAGGAAGGGAAGAAAATTGAAGGGTATTCTCTTCCCTTGTTTGAGAGTTAAAAAAATGGTAAATGAGAAAAATTGAGGGTTAATGAGTTATTTTTATCATTTTACCCTTTTTTAAATTAATATAATTATTATATTTTACAAATTAAATTAAATTTAAAATTTTTAACATTTGTATGTACTTTTCACAACACCAAAAAAGATCATATTTTCAATGAAATTTCTACGTTGCAAATGATGAAAATTTTATCACAAAATTATTTTTTTCGTCTGAATACTTTTCGTCGAAAAGCGACGAAATTTTTCAACCGATGAAAATTTTTACAAAAATAAATTTTCTGTCGAAATTTCGGACGAAATTTAGTTTCCATCAAATGTTTTAAATGAAAAAAGAATTCTGTCAAAAATTTTGACAGAACGTTTTTCGTTCAAAATTTTGATAGAAATGTGTTTTGACAAAAATTTCAACAGAAATTGTTTTGATAGACATTTTGAGGGAAATGTTTTATTCGAATCTTTCGACGAAATTTAGATTCTGTAAAGAATTTTGACAGAATACTTTTTTCGTCAAAATTTTTTGTCGAAATATTTTCCGTCAAAAATTTTTACGAAAACATTTTCAATCAAAATGTTTTGACAGAAATACGTTCCGTTGAAAATTTTGATGGAAATATTTTTTATCAAAAAACTTGAGGAAAATATTTTCCGTTGAAAATTTTCGATGGAAATGTGTTTCGTTAAAAATTTTGACAGAAATTTTTTTTGCCAAAAAGTTTAACGAAAATATTTCCGTTGAAAACTTTCGGCGGAATTTAAATTTTGATGAAATTTTTTTTCGTTAACAATTTTCGATAACATGTTTTTCATTGAAAATTTTGATAGAAATATTTTGCGTCAAAAATTTTAATGAATATGTTTTTTTGTGAAATATTTTGGAAAAATTTAGATTTCGTAAAGAATTTTGACAAAAAAAATTTCCGTCAAAATTTTTTACAGAAATATTTTTAGTCACAAATTTTGATGGAAATAATTTCCGTAAATTATTTTGACATAATTGTTTTACGTTAAAACTTTTCGATGAAAATGTGTTTCATCAAAATTTTGTACGGAAATATTTTCGTTAAAAGTTTCGACGGAATTTAGATTCTATCAATAATTTTGACTGAATATTTTTTTCCGTACAAAATTTATGTCAGTGATTATGGCAAAATCTGGTTCCGTCTCTAATTTTGTCTTTAGTTTTGATGGAAAAATTTTTACTTATATGATTTTCATTAAAAATTTCATCATTATTTTTGACAAAATATTTTTCGTCAATAAATTCTATCGGTATTTGAGACTTTTCTAATAATATCACATTTAAAAATGATTCACAATTTTGTAGTTTTAACATTTTAATACTAAGGGTAGAAAAGTAATTTTTAATATATTCCCCCTCAAACCCTCCAAATTGGGGAAACTTTAATTTTAAGAAGAATGAGGGTTTAGTGAAAATCTCCAAACTCTTCCCCTCCTTTTTGTAAACTCACAAACAAGGGAATGACTTACTAAAATCCTCTATTTCCTTTCCTTCCCCTCCTAAAACTAACTCACAAACACAGCCTAAGGCTCTGTTTGAGAGTTTAGAGGGGAGGGGGAGGAAGGGGTTCCAAGGGGGGAGGGAGGGGAAGGAAGGGGAGGAAATTAGAGGGTACCCCTTTTCTTGTTTGAGAGTCAAAAAAAGGGAATGGGAGGATAATGAAGGAACTTAAATTTTAGGAAGAAGGGGGATTTTAGAGGGTTTAGTAAAAATCTTCAAATCCTTCCCCTCCTTTTTTTAAACTCCCAAACAAGGGGAAGGTTTCCTAAAACCTTTCATTCTCCTTCCTTCCCCTCCTAAAACCATCTCCCAATATACTTAAAAAAATTGCTATAAAATTAATTTAAGAATAAAAATTCAATTCACCTACTTAGGTAGCAAATCTACACATCAATGCATTGCAGTTTAATGCCAAAAATAAATAAAATAGCCAAGCAGAACATAATATAATAAGTATACTTTTAAAAGTTAAGGATTCAAATTAGAACAGAGTTGGACAATTGAATAAATAAGGACAATCATAAAATCTGCAACAATCCATTATAATTATATATTACAAGTAGTATATAGTTATAGAGTTTTTTTTTTTTTTTTTTTTGCAGTTACTGCAGATAAATTATCCATAATAAGCCTAATACGACGTTGTTTTGGGGCGAAAATTATGATGTTTTTGTAATTTTAATTTATTTCAGTGTTATTATAGTCTTTATAATTATAATTATTTAATTTTTCAATCCCAAAACGACGTCGTTTTGAGAATAAATGCAGATAACTTATCTGCAGTAACCGCAGAAATATTATTCTGATAATTATAATGATAAAACTTTTTTTTTCTCAACCACAACAACCGATAATATATGAAAAAAAAACTTTAATAGAGATAAGATATTGTTACTACCAACTAATATTATTATCAATGTTATTATCATATCTTTACCATTGATTTCCGTCAATCAATGATTATCATTTATTGCGAATTTATAATTAATTAATGAGTTTGATTTGTGGAAATAA